TGGGTTGCCTCATGATCAGACGGTTGTGGGCTCAATTCCAGCTCCCGCCAAGGGTATACTCCTGTTGTGTCTTTGGGCAAGACACTTCGCCCAACTCGCCTGTGTTGGTGGTGGTCAGAGGCGCCTCTGTCAGGCTACATAGCTTACCTCCATGAATGTGAGAGTGTGTGAATAATGGAAAGCACGTTGGGTGCCTAGAAAAGCGCTATACGAATGCTCTGCCACTCCTGCAGAGAAACCAAAGTTTATCACATCAAACAGGATCTGCTGCCATTAGGGTTCGTGCGCGCAGACATTTTCTGCTTTAAACCAGGCTCTTACGGTGGATTATTTATCTTATGCAGTAGGCTGATGCCACTGGCCAGTTTCAGACAGGAACACAAAGAAACTCACACATTTCAAACCCAACAGGAGGGTTAAAATGTGCTGCAAAGTTCCCGGCAGAGGGCGTGGTTTTGGCCTCATCAGCTTCTGAAAACCGTTTTGTTCTGTTTCCATCCTCCCTGGCAGCTCCGCCTGCTGAAACACTCGGAGAATCTGAGGCGTGTGATGAAAGTCCTCAGCAATACTGAACCCTTTATGCTGCTGCCCTCGAGCCCTCGAGCAGGTGTAACAGCTGAGAGTGCGGGGGGGGGGCGTCTGCTGCCACACCAGCATCAGAGCAGAGTGCGGTCATATATGACAGATCGTAAAATGATGCGTCACAGTTGAGTTCTGGAAAGGGGAGGGGTTTAGTTTAGTTAGTTTAGTTTCTATTTTTATCACTGCTATTGTTTTTCTGATGTTTTTATTGGTTAGAGGTATTTGCCCTGATCTTTATCCTGTTGTACAGCGCTTTGTGATTTATATCTGTGAAAGGCGCTCTATAAATAAACTTTTACTGACTTAATTACTTAATCAGATTAGAAAGTTCGGGTGTTTTTGTTTCTGGTTCTTTTGCTGGAATCTCCAAAATCTGACGACAAACAACAAAAACCTACAATTATAAATGACCCGCACTTGTATAGCGCCTCTCAAGAGTAAGGACTCCAAAGCGCTTTACACTACAGTGCATCATTCATCCATTCACACACATTCATACACTGGTGGGGATGAGAGGCGAGGCTGCCGAGCACAGGCGTCACCCATCTGTCCAATGTCGGGTCAGATTTGGAGCTAATGTTGGAAACTTTAGACACATACAGGTAATAGAGAGTCAAGAGTTTGTATTTTGATTTTAAGGTTGGACCAAAACACCTCAAAATTACCTAAAACCCCCAAATATTCCAGATATCAATCAGATTTTATTTATAAAGCGCCTTTCAAACAAAGTGCTTTATAAAATGACCCCAAATTCCCATAACAGTTTAAAAACATTAACAGACATATGCAAACACACACACACACACACACACATCAGTAAAAATTTATATTCGGCTGAGTCCAGATGAGCTAATTAAGGTAAGGCATGGAAACTCCATCAGAGGAGTCATCTGCCCCGGCAGCATCAGGTGTTCCACACTAAGTCAGGGCGCTCTGAGGAGGGGGAGCATAGACCCCCACCTCCACTTAAACACTACCTGTAGAGCGTCCAGGAAGCAACAGTCGACCACCGCCCCCGGGGCAGAGGGCCCCTACAGAGAAAACACTGGATTAAAATGAGTAAAAATATGAAAATTAAAGAGCTAATATAATAGACATAAGTAAAAAAAATAAATAATAAATAAAATCATATAGACAGTAAAATAATAATATTATTAAATAATACAATTGTGCTAAAATATCATCATATAAAACGAGAAATAAAACTATAGTAAATAATTAGATAAAAGCTAACCTACATAGATGGGTCTTAAGCCTGGACTTAAAAACATGAACAGATATTTCAGATATTTATGAAAAAATATTTCTTAACATATGAAGGTTTAAATCTCTGGATGACATCATGCCTTTACTGAATAAGACCTCCATTTTCACGCTTCTGCACTTGTTAGACACTTTTTTATCCAAAGTGACTGACTGACAACCCTAACGTGCACGTTTCTGGCCTGTGGGAGAATCTGGAGGGAGAACGTGCTAACGCCACACAGCAGCTGGGATTCAAACCTACAACCTTCTTACCAGACGACGGTGCTACCAACTGCACCACCATGCAGCCTTTAATTAAAATAATAGCAACGATGATAAATCGGTCAAGTTACAAGTGAGCAGGCGTCATCAGACGATTAGGAACTTTGAGTGTTTTTATAATAAACTAAATTTATTGAGAATATCTGAGAGAAAAGACCAAGAAAGGATCAAATGTGTTTAATATTGTGAAGATGTACATATTCATGTCAGGGTTTGAGTGATGAGCACTGAATAAACACAGCGGTGCGTCTACTAACCCTAACCCCAGCCTGCTCTGAGTCGACTTGGCGTGAAACTGAAGCTTTGTCAGAGTACAGTCTCTGTTGTTATTACCCACCATGAACATCATGTCCTGTAAATGCATCTGTTAGAAGTACCGTCAGTAGATGCAAACTCCTAATCGAGCCATCTAAAGTGCCGAAGACGAGGAGGCTGCGAGAGGAGCCGGCTCCCTGACAGGAAGTCTCCAATAGCTGGGAGCTTGCGTACTGCCTGTTGAAAGCTGGAATCACTCACTGTACATTTTTCCGTCTCTTCGCCGTTGATATAAATTATCCGACTGGCCTCAAAGCGTTTCTGAAAAGTGACATGACGGATGGGACTTCCCTAGAAAACGACTACAGAGAAGCTTTCGTTTCGGGACCTTTTAGTCAGAGGACTGAAGCTTTTGTTGGTTTTAGTGGGTGGACATCCCCAAATGTCTATAACAGTTTGATCCAAGTGGGTAGAACTTTATGGCTGCTTGTTTTAATTATTTATAGATTATTTTATTTAAACCACTTCTGACTTTAAAGCCTCCAGATGGATCACCAGGATTAACATTTATGTTGTTTTATTTATTTAATCACATTCTATTGGATTGTTTACTTTCCGTATTAGCTCTTGTGATTTTACATGTTACGTATTTTAATCCTTCCAGTGTTTCCTCTGGGGAGCCCTCTGCCTTGGGATCGGTGGTTAGTGGCGGCGGCTGGGGCGCTCCTTGGGTAGTGCCCAGGAATGCCCGAGTGGTGTATAGTATAGTATAGTGGTGGGGGTTGCCACCCTCCCTCCTACGGCACCCTGGATTGGTGTCTTGGCTGCTGTCGAGGCAGATGGCTCCCTTGATAGCGTCGTCGTCGTCTTCCTCCGCTTATCCGGGTCCGGGTGGCGGGAGCAGCATCCCAACTAGGGAGCTCCAGACCGTCCTCTCCCCGGCCTTCTCCACCAGCTCCTCCGGCAGGACCCCAAGGCGTTCCCGGACCAGATTGGAGATGTAACCTCTCCAACGTGTCCTGGGTCGACCCGGGGGCCTCCTGCCGGCAGGACATGCCCGAAACACCTCCCCGGGGAGGCGTCCAGGAGGCATCCTGACCAGATGCCCAAACCACCTCAACTGACTCCTTTCGATCCGGAGGAGCAGCGGTTCTACTCCGAGTCCCTCCCGAATGTCCGAGCTCCTCACCCTATCTCTAAGGCTGAGCCCGGCCACCCTACGGAGGAAACTCATTTCGGCCGCTTGTATCCGCGATCTCGTTCTTTCGGTCATTACCCAAAGCTCATGACCATAGGTGAGGATTGGGACGTAGATCGACCGGCAAATCGAGAGCCTGGCTTTCTGGCTCAGCTCCCTCTTCACCACGACAGATCGGCTCGGCGTCCGCATCACTGCAGACGCCGAACCAATCCGCCTGTCGATCTCCCTTGATAGCGTGTCTTTAATTACCTGTTCAATCTGAGCTCAACCTAGTGTTTACTGTGGTCTTTAATGTGTAATTTGTACGAGTGTGTGTGTGTGTGTGTGTGTGTGTGTGTGCGCGCCTGGGAATGGTTTGTGGACTCAGGGGTGAATGTGGGTTATATGGGTCATTTTAATCTGTTAAGCACTTTGTGTTGCTTGCATGAAAAGAGCTTTATAAATAAAGTTCGATTTGATTTAGCACCTTCATCACAAACCTGCCATCTCCAGTCCTTTACCTGTCGACATACGTAGCTTTACTAAATAGCCATTATATTACCATTAAACATATTTTATCATCAAAAGAACAAAGATTTTGTTTATGTATAAAAAGATCTGTAAATCTTGTGGATGTGGGACATCAAAGGTGTTTCGTGTGTTTGTCTTAATAAAAATGTTTCCTCGAATCTGGTTGTTTTCATGCTGATTGTTTAGAAAATTACAGGATTTAGAGTCTTACTCATTATTATTAATGCTCTCCTTTGATTAGCTATCAGAAACATAACTCTTCCACTGCCGCTCTTCCCTCTTCAACATTGTGTTTTATCTCCACTAATAACTCGGGCCTGAACGAGTTTTGCCATGTTGTGCAGTCGCTAATGCTAATGGTTAGCTTCTCCTAGCCAAGAGCCGCTCTGCTCTCTCCTGGATGCTAAATGAACAACAGCCCTTTCCGTCGTGAGCCAAGGTGAGTCCATGAGTGCTAAGTGTGACGTAGACCTGTGTGGCTTCTTCTGACCCGGGCGTTTCGCCGCCTCTTTTCTTTCACCGGCTAATGCAGGAAGTAGGGGTAGAAGACTATTTTCATGTTTAGCCTGTAAAACACAAGTTAAAACGGTTTCTCCTTAAACCATCACATTTGACTCATTCAGCTGGCAGCTCGCTAATATTCGCAGAACGAATCGCTGTTTCTCCAAACTGAGGCCAGTGAAAGAGCGATAAAACAGGTGCGATACCATCAGCTCCCAGATATCTCTTTACATACGTAACAAGACAGAAACAAACTGTGATTAACCGCTAAGCAGACCCAGAATAGCTGATGTCATGATGGAGCTGGCCCTCGCCCTGCTGGAGGCTGCAGGGGAATGCAAACAGCTGCCCCCCGTGCATCCACGGGCCGGCCTGCCAGGGGGCATTTAAACTTTAAAGGGCCAAACTGGACAGCTGCTCGTGT